TGGCTGGGGAATTCTGGGAGTTGAAGTCCACATATCTTAAAGTTGCCAAGCTTGAGGAACACTGGCATAGGTGTTTATTTTGGGGCTGCTGCTTGCAGTGCTTCCTCCCTCTCTTGGTGGTACCTGCTGAAGATGGTGCATGTAGGGCCACCAGCCAGCGGAGGGGCTCAAATATGGCATCTTACACCATGTTGAAGGGCTGATCATCCTAGGCCTTTATCTGTACACTACCATGCATGAAATCTGATGATCCTTTGGGCCACCCTGCAACTTGTCCCTGATAGCTGGTATAACTACTGTTCATGCCCTGCTTGGGAATAGGTATTTTACTGCTAGTTAATGGCACAAATTACTAGCTAGCACTGGACAGGAGAATGTTGGCCAAGCAATATCCCCCAGACCTCACAAAGTTTTCCCCTGCAAGGCTGAAGGGCTGTCAAGTTAAACTTTCCATGGGCCCAAGGCAGTCTCTGCTTTGATGCTGGAGGGAAGTTGGATGTTTCCTCTGGGCCAACGCCACCACCTGTGGGTTCAGTTTCAAAGGGACGGCGTCTTCTCCTGACATTCAGCTCCTGGATTGCTGACAGGGGGACTTATCTGACCATCATCCTCTGAACTGTGAGAAGATCCCCTCCTGAGCATTATCCAACCTGGCCAGATGACATCACCATTGCTACCACAGAAGGATATAAAAATCACTCCACCTGCAGAATCACTCTTTTTCTCACTTGACCAGTAGCCCTTGGCTTGACCATCCCTCTCACCACTTCTTCCTATTCCCACAGGGGGGAATCCACTACATGTGGCTGGCTAAACTGTTGGGGCTGGCAGCTTAAAAGCAAACAACAAAACTAAAAGAGTGTATTTACCAAATACATGTCTGTATATCTAATAAACAGCACTACTAATTGGAAGAATAATTCCCCCATAAGCATGCAGGCCTCACACTGGACAAAGGAAACTGTCATTTTATGTTCTAAAAGGGTTGAACTGAAAAGGGGAGATGGGAATGTGTTTCTCTTTCCCTCCTGACCACCAACCCCACTACACTGCTTTAAAATTAAGGCTAAAACACAAAGGCCCAAAGAAGCCCCCCCAATAATTAAACCCGGGGGAGGGGTTTGGGGGGGGGGGTGCTCAGAAGCGGGCAGCCAGAAAAATGCTCATCTGTTCCAACTTCACTGACCCTTTGGAACTAGTTGATAAAGAGAAGCAAATTCCATGGAGACCGATTGGTTTCAAAAGAATAAGGGCTGTCAGTGGAAATTAGGCTTCAGCCTGCAATGCCCCACTGACCTTGAAAGCCTTGAAGCTCAAGTGCGTGTGCAGTTGATTGGAAGAGAATGGAAAAGAGGTTGCTTAAAGTTTTCAGTCTTTGCACAGACTGCAGAATAAAACGATGGGTGACGGTTTCCTTTTCTAGAACAGCTTTTCTGAGATGTAAATTACCCAGATGCATTTAGAGGAACAAACACATTTGTTTGTTTAAAAGCACTGCTCTGCAACTGATGCCTCTTCTTCTGATTGTCCCCACTGGAATTCTAGCAAGCGGAGTACCGGCAGAAGTTGTTGCAGCTGTTGATGTGAATACAGTGGCCAATGAAGTTTACACACACAATTTTTCTACCACACCCCTGTGGCCAAAAACGATTGAGGTAAGTGAAGCGGTCTTTTGGAATCCTCATATATTTGTCTCTTTATATGTTGGTGAAGATATGTTGGATGTACTAGGTTAAATAAGGAAGCAAATTGGTTTTTCCAATTTCTGATTTTATTTCTCTTGCCTTTTAAATGGGGGAGGGGAAGAATCATACTCCTGTCCCAATTAGAATGAATGGCTGGCTTCACACAGCATGCTGTGTCA